ACTAAAAGCATGCAGGCTAGCTGGAAAGTTTCACTGAAGAGGGAAATTGAGGCAAAGCATAAGGAAGAAGTTAGGGAAATTTTGACTGTGAACATTCAGGCATTATCATGGACCCAGAAGATAACTTGGTAAGCACACAGCAGGGAAGTGAGGCACACTTTATACCTCTGCTGCTTTCAAGGGAGGCAGCTGCTCTGCGTGGCCAAGGCTGCCCAAGATCTGTAGTCTTGGGCTACACAAAAGCTGTGTACAAAGCTCTGAGGACCTGGGCTCCAGTACTGCCCTGTCCAGGACTCCCACCTTGCCCTGCAGCCTCAGGACCTTGCTCTCTCTATCCTCTCTGGCTGTGGAGGGACTGACCATGCCTGAGAGCCAGTAAGGTGTTTTAAGTTTAGTTCACCTTGGGAAATGTAAAGCAGTTGCAGTGGCCTGAGATGCCCGTCTCCACTGCAGTACAGCTAACATGGCCAGCCTGGCATGCAGTGACAGGGGAGCACACCAAGCTGTGGGGTGACAGGGTGCACTACAGCATTTTCCAATAATGTCATCCACAACAGGCAGAATAGAGGTTTAATGGAAGAAACAAGGAGCTAGGTTTGGGCAGACCTTTGAGTTGGACTACCATGTTCTGTTGTACCTCTTCTCACAGAAGACCTACAGCATTAGTGGGGTTGGAGGGAAGAGTAGCAGGAGACAGCTTCTAGAAAGGAGTTAGACTAAGAAAGGTATTGGTTGTAGGTAAGCCTCACCTCAACAAGATGGATAAGAAACTCTCATGACTTTCTACCAAATTGTCTGTGATGCTCTGATTGTGGAGGAGATATTGTTGTGCTTGGATTTATTACAGTTCCAAATGACCTCCTCTGGTACGTGAGATTTTGCCTGTCATGACAAGAAAAGTTTCCTGAAATTCCGGAAAGAATATAAGCAAAAGAGGTGGAAACATACATTTTATTTGTACAGCATTCTGGCACAAAACCAATTGTAAACACTGGTCAGAGCAGGAGCTTAAAAGTAACAGCATGGAACTGCTGAATTGTCCACAAAAAAAAAAAAAAAAGTTATTTCATCTTTCCTCCATAAAAATTGCAGGGATCATATCTGCAGGAATTGTGTATACTAAGTACATATTTGTGTGTACTGACTTATTTCAATACACTGAACTAGCTCTTAAGCTTTGATAAAAGTGCAAACAAGCTTTTCAGTGATCTTCTAAGACAGCATTAGAATGATTTGCTAACAAACAGCGGGTTTGTTACTGAAAACTTTCAACCCTGCAGTATTTCTGTTCTTTCCAAAGGCACTTTTTGCTGTGGTTGTCACAGCATCACTTGTAGCGTGGCAGCTTTTCAAAACCCTGAGCCTGCAGAGGGATTCATACGAGTCCGATTCGCTGCATCCTGCCTTCTTCATGATCCTGAACTTCCTCTGTCTCTGCAGGTCCCTTGCAATCATGATGAAGTCCAGAAAGGTGCAGGTGCTCCTGATTCTGGCAGTTCTGACCTTCCTTCTTATTCACTGCCACTTCCAACCCTGCAGCAACAATGCCCCTGTGGAAAGAAAACCTTCTTCAGTCCACATCCTCATTCTCTCCTCCTGGCGGTCAGGGTCTTCCTTCACCGGACAACTTTTCAGCCAGCACCCCAGTGTCTTCTACCTGATGGAGCCTGCATGGCACGTGTGGGTTAAGATGTACCAGAGCAGTGCCAAGGTCTTGCACATGGCAGTGCGGGACCTTGTCAGGTCGGTTTTTCTGTGTGACATGTCTGTGTTTGATGCTTACATGTCTAGCCAGAAGAAAAAGTCTGATTTATTTCAGTGGGAGACAAGCCGAGCCTTGTGCTCCCCCCCGGCCTGTGACTTATTCAGTCGCAGTGACATAATCACTGCAGGCAACTGCAGAACAATCTGTGCCAAGTCCCCATTCAGCACAGTGGAGGAAGCCTGTAAAACCTACAGCCATGTCGCCATCAAGGAGGTTCGGTTCTTTGACCTGAAAGTGCTCTACCCCCTTCTCACTGATCCATCCCTGAACCTCAAGATCATTCACTTGGTCCGTGACCCTCGGGCTGTATTCAGATCGCGAGAGAATACAGTGGCAGACCTGAAACGTGACAGTAACATTGTTGTGGGGCCCGAGAGGACAAAGGGAGAAATGGGACCTTACAACACCATGCAAGTAATCTGCAAAAGCCACGTTGAGATTTACAAGGCTGGCAGCCAGGCTGTCCCCAGCTTCCTGAAGGACCGCTACCTGCTGGTTCGCTATGAAGACATTGTCAGAGACCCGCTAGCATTGGCTGCTCAGATGTACAGGTTTGCAGAACTCCATTTTACACCCGAACTTCAGAAGTGGGTGCACAACATCACCCATGGGAAGGGGCAAGGAGCACAGGCCTTTGATATTAGCTCCAGAGATGCTCTGAAGGTATCTCAGGCCTGGAGGAAGACCCTTCCCTTCCAGAAAATAGAAAAAGTGCAAAGAGTGTGCAAGGATGCAATGGACCTGTTGGGCTACCAGCTCATTCAGTCTGAAGGAGACCAAAAAAATATGTCACTGGATCTTTTGTTTGATCATAACTCCTCTAAGTAACAAATTTTGAAGGCAGAAAAGCTGCTCTCTGCACCTACTCTCTCAAGGCTGCAGAGCAGAGAACTGTAAAGTGTTTGCCAAAGCAAAGAACAGAGCTATGTGCATGCGTGCTAAGAGTGCACACATGGATGTGCTAAGCAAGGATAAGTAACAGGATCCCCAGCTGCAGTTGTGACAGCCTTCTCAGCAGCACAGGCTGCTCTCCAAAGTCCTGGAGGCTCAGCCACAATTGCAGCATCATAGAATCAGCAAAGCTGGAAAAGACCTTTAAGCTCATCCAGTCCAACTGTTGCCCAGCACTGCCAAGGCCACTGCTGACCCATGTCACTGAGGCCCTCATCTACACGGTGTGTGAACACTTGCAGGGACGGTGACTCCAGTACTGCCCTGGGCAGCCTGTTCCAATGCCTGAGCACCCTTTAGGTAAAAAATTGTTCCCAATTTCCAGTCTAAACCTGCCCTGGTGCAGCTTGAGGCCGTTTCCTCTTGTCTCATCCCTTGTTCCTTGGGAGCAGAGCCCAGCCCCTCCTGGCTCCATCCTCCTGTCAGGCAGTTGTAGGGAGCCATCAGGTGGTCCCCCCGAGCCTTCTCTTCTCCAGACTGAACCCCCCAGGTTCCTCAGCCGTTCCCCATCACACTTGGGCTCCAGGCCATGCACCAGCTCTGTTGCCCTTCTCTGGCCCCACTCCAGCATCTCAATGTCTCTCTTGTAGTGAGGGACCCAGAGCAGAACATAGGATTCGAGGTGTGGACTCACCAGTGGCCAGCACAGGGGCACAATTGCTGATCTGGCCCTGCTGCCACACTGGTGCTGATACAGGCCAGGATGCTGGTGGCTTCCTGGCTGCCTGGGCACAAGCTGCCCATGTGCAGCTCCATCAATCAGCACCCCCAGGAAAATGGAGGCTGAAGTAATGCAAGTCTGTTTTGCAAATTAAATCCATGGTTTATGCAAAAAAAAAAAAAGAAGTACAGGTAGGTTGGAGCAAACAATGCCAAAGGAGTGGGACCAGACAGCAGAGCTCAAAACCTTCATGGACCACAGCTAAATGTGTAAAACGACACAGAGCAATTATACTGCAAAGGAAGAAGAGATATACATGGAAGCTGAATAAAGCAAGCATCATTTGTCATGCTGCCACACATGATAAGTAATGACAGAAGAGATGCAAGGATGACCAGACGATGGTTTCTAGAATGATTCTTTTTTTGGGGATAGTTGAGTTTTCAAGCCCAGTTTCCTTTTGCTCCATTCCCATGCCTGGGTATCCAGCCTTGGTGGCAATGTTTGGGGAAACGTTTGCGTTCACTTACTGTATAATGGGAAAATGGAATAAACCAGCTATAGATGAAAATAAAAACTTCTGAGTTTGCATATGGTGATCCATAGCTGGGACTATGTGAATCCATTTATTTTTTAGCAGAAATAATTCTGTCTTCTAGCTTCCAAAACCAGTAATAGTTGTTCTCCTGGACGTTCTCAGAGCCCATGTTCTTGAAATCATGAAGGAAGATGGTAAGGTTGATGTTATTAATCAAACCCTGCAATATTAGCATGGGAGAATAAATATTGGAATATGGGTAATAAAAACTGGAATCATCTCAACCAGCCTGAGGTTTTAACTGACGTATCTCTGTAACGTGAGTGTGAGCGTTTTAACGTCACAGGGACCTTTTTTGGCCATTCCCAGTACACAGGGCCACTCTCAAGACATCTCAGCACTGACATATGAGACCAAGTGCATCATCTTCTGGCATGAATGTTCTTGATCCCTGTTTTGAATAGTTACATTTGCATTGTTACTATCTCCAAATAACTGCTGCTAATCAAGGTTTATTAGCAGCAAAAACTAATGACAACTGGCAGCTCAGGTTATTAAATAACCATCCACAGCAGTCTGAAGTAAGACACATGATAGAGATCAGGATGCTGTTGTGCACTACTACAGGTGCATTACAGGTTAGAGCACTTAAATGTGACTGTCAAACATTGGTGACATGCCTATTCAAAATCCTTTGCATGCAGAGCAACATACAAGTGGGACTGTCAATCCGCTTATATAGCAGATAAACACTCTTCACTGGAAAAAAGTTGATACTGTATGGAGTCCTTATCTTCACCATTTTCTACTTTAAGATGTTTAGTGCACTCAGTAATATAAAAACGAGCCTTTTATGAAAAAAAAAATTTAAAGCATTTCTGAAATTTCAGAATGCTGCATCAGATTTTCTGCTGGGACCAGACAACAGAGCTCAAAACCCTCACGGACCACAGCTAAATGTGTGAAACCACACAGAGCAATTATACTGCAAAGGAAGAAGAGATATACATGGAAGCTGAATAAAGCAAGCATCGTTTGTCACGCTGCCACGCGTGATAAGTAAGAAGAGATGGAAATACGCATCTCTGAAATGACCAGGGTTTTTTTTAAGTTCCTGCACAGTCCTACATCAGCCATTCCCCTCTGCTTTGCCAGCTAACTCTTCCTAAATGCTATCCGCTTTGCTATGTTTTCAGCTCCAAATTTTGCTATCAATTTATTTCTGACAGACTCATCATCCTTTTGCAATTCCAAATCATCCTCTCTGCTCCACACAGGGTACCCGTCCCGGCGTCGCCCCGTCTGCAGGAAGTGCAAAGTAGCCTCCACATCACCGCTGTTTTTCAGAAAGGCCTGTGTGACGGTGAGCAGGTCCATGCTAGATTTCTCCATTAAGCACTGCATCGTTTTTACTGCATCTGCCACCGTGCTGGAAGAAGAGCAAGTGCTTGTTGGTTGTTCTTCCATCTGTAACCTGGTGTCAGGGCCAGCAGACTCCTGCAGGACAGTTTTCAAACCAGATGCTGTTTCTCCTGGGGAAATTCTCTCTTTTGTAGGAAGTTCTCCTGAGATTTCTGAGGCGTCATTTCTTGACTAAGAGAAGTAGAGCCATCAGTTAGACACGGTATGTTCTGGCAAGCTTCTTTCATCCCCGCTACCCAACCACCTTCCACTGTGCCTCTACAATACATAAAAACCTCAGAAATTAGTAGACAAGGTAAAACTCATGCCTGAAATGAAGCCATGTGTTAACAAGGACACACAAGACCACAGAAAGCATGAAATAAGACACAATTTAGGAAGGAAGGAAGAAAATGAAAGCGTAAAAGGCAAAAGCGCTAATGCATCGGCAGGCACGCTTTATGCCTGAAGCGAAAGGATGACGTCCATCTGCCAACGCAGCTCCCGGTGTGACCGCGCTGCCACACCGGCTCCCTCCAGCCAAGCCCGGCCGGGACTCAATCTAGGACAGGACAGGACAGCGCGGCGGGGCGCGGCTCTTCGCGGCTCACAAGAAACAGTCACGGGGCGCTCTGGGATGGATCGGACCCTGGCGCCAGGCCCGGGTGCCCGCGCAGCCTCGGCGCGGGTCGCTCGGGCCCGGCCTCACCTCCATGGTCTCGAACTCGCGGTTCGCCGCCTCGAAGAGCCCCGCGCGCTGCAGGTGCCTGAGGTAGCGGTCGCGCATGGCCTGCCAGCTGTGCCGCATCAGCCCCGCGCGCTCCAGCTCCTGCCACAGCGCGCGCCCGCGCGCCCGCTCCTCGCCGCGCTCGCGCACGGCGCGCACCAGCGCCGCGTCCTCCGCCGCCGAGAAGGCCGAGCGGCCCCGCGGCGCGGCGGCGGCGGCCGGCGCGGCGGGCAGCCGGAAGGGCTCCAGCGGAAGCCGCTCGTTGCGCCTCACGCACTCCGTCACGTAGTCGGTGGAGACGGCCCCGCCGGGCGCCGCCTCGCCGGGCTGCGCCAGGAGCACGGCTCCCGGCTCCTGCACGCGGCAGAGCCGCCCGCCGCCCGCCAGCACGAGCGGTGCCAGGCGCAGCTTGGCCCGCCCGGGCCGCACGTAGAACCGCATCGGGCTGCCGTTGTCGCACAGGAACAGCGACCGCGAGCAGTCCGCCATAGCGGCCCCGGGCGCGCAGGCGCGGCACCTACCGGAAAGGCTGGGTGGAGCGCGGAAGATGGCGGCGGTCGTGGAGGGCGCGTGCGAAGCGGCGGGGACCGAGTCGCGCCTCAGCAAAAAGTGAGGGTGGCGGCGGGGCCGCGCCGGCGGAGCCGCTCCGTGCGGGCGAGGCCGCGCCGGGGACGCGAGGGGAGCGCCCGGCTGGCCTGGGCGCGCCGCCGCCAGGTCTCACGTCGGAGCGCGCCATGCTGAGCCCCGGCGCCGCGCTGCTCCGCGCCTCGGCACGAGCCTGGTCCTGGTCCTGGTCCTGGAGGGCCGCGGCCGCGCTCCGGTGGCGCCGGGCGCTCCATGACCAGAGCAGGTCGGTGCTTCGCGGTCTGCCCGGGCCCTCCTCTTGCCTCGTCAAGTCCGTGCCCGCGGGGTCGGGAGCCGCGGGAAGCGCCGCTGTGCGGGTGCGCCGTGCGGCCGCCTTCGGGCCCCGGACGCTCGTTTCGGGGCAGAACGCCCTGTTCCAGCCACACCCGGCCCGCGGGTGCACGGAGGCGCGCGAGAGGGCCTGCGGCACGTTGGCGAGTGTCCGAGTGTTTGCGTCTCGGCGCTTAAACACGCTTATCTTGACTTTGGGTCAGAGAAATGAAAGGGTTACTGTACAGTAAGCTTTTGATAGTTCTGCCGTGTGTTACCTGCTAGCAGAGTTCCTCCTGTACCTGGTTCCCTTCTGTTCTGCAGTGAGCTGAAGAGGCGTTTAAAAGCTGAGAGAAAAATTGCTGAGAAAGAGGCAAAGCAGAAAGAACAAAGTGAAAAGCAGTCAAGTAAACCTGCCTTGGCTACTGACTCTGAGAATAACACTGGTGCTGATGAGGAGAGCTTGGATCCAAATGTGAGCACCTGGCCTCATGCTTAATTGCTATTCTGGGAACAAATGTTACTTATTTACATTGTTGGGAGTTTTTTAATTCATGGGTAACTAAATGGTTAAAGGGGGAGAGACCTACATATTCCTGTATAAGTGAAGCTGTGTTTAATTCACACACTGTAAAGTATTTTCATTTCCTAACAGAAATGTGTTGGGTTTTGTTTGTTTCTGGTGACAGCAATACTACAAGATCCGTAGCCAGGCGATCCAGCAGCTGAAGGGCACCAGCGAAGATCCCTATCCTCATAAGTTCCATGTAGACTTATCCCTCTCAGATTTTATAGAGAAGTACAGTCATCTGCAGCCAGGAGATCACCTGACGGACATTACATTGAGAGTGGCAGGTAAAAGCTTCTCTGGGATACAGGAGGATGGTCTGTTGCTTTGCTAAGCCAAGTCTTTGCTGCTGTAGCAGTGCTAGACTATTCAGAACATGTGCTGTCAGACTGAGTGGAACCATGCCACATCCCTTACACCTACAAGATCAGATTATGGTATGACCTGCAGTACCCTGAAGTTTATATAGTCTTTTGTGCACTGGTATTCATTTTGAGGCTTGACTGCTGCTCTTCCACACTTAGTGATCAGTTCGGAGCTGATGAGCCTTTGTCCAAGTGATACTACTGTGCTTTTTGCCCCTGTGCCCTTTTTGCTAGGGACTCCTTTCCTGATGTCCTGCATACTTTGATATTTAGGTCGAATTCATGCAAAGCGTGCGTCTGGAGGGAAGCTGATTTTCTATGATCTTCGTGGCGAAGGAGTCAAGTTGCAGGTCATGGCAAATTCCAGGTAAGGAGAGGTATTTGCAGTAGCATTCTAAAATGGACTGTATTCTGGGGCCTAGTTATCTGATTTGGTCACTCTCCATCTCCTTAGGCAGTTTGTCTGTGTGTTGGCTTAGGAAGCCAGGTAAACTTGTGCTTAGGAAGCCAGGTAAACTTGTGCTTAGGATGTTGTGGTTGGCCTCCCTGCTAGAAGAGTCTTGGGAGAGACTTGAAGGACAGTTTGGAATGGTGAATTTTAAACAAATGTGCTTACATTGGTTTCGTAATTACAGGCTCTACAAATCCGAGGAAGAGTATTTCCGTATTAATAACAAGCTGCGTCGTGGAGACATTATTGGTGTAGAGGGGAATCCTGGGAAAACAAAGAAAGGAGAACTGAGTATTATTCCTTATGAAATAACTCTGTTGTCTCCATGCCTCCACATGTTGCCTCATCTTCACTTTGGCCTCAAAGATAAAGTAAGTATCATATCTGTCACTCTTGAAGGGAGTTTAACAGATAGGTCAGAATGGATGACCTTTTATATCTGCTGGTGGTATCAGTCACCAAAGGAACGTCAGTTTTGTTTTAGTTTTTCTTTGGCAGCACATTTTGTGTAGCTTGTTCTAAAGATACTTGTTCTTTCCAGGAAACTAGGTATCGTCAGAGATACTTGGATTTGATTCTTAATGATTATGTGAGGCAGAAATTTATAACCCGTGCAAAGATCATTACATATATTCGAAGCTTTCTAGATGAGTTGGGCTTCCTTGAGGTAAGGCTTCAGTGTTTTATTTGTCTCTGCATACTGAACTTGCTTAAAGCTTCTCAGCTTCAAGGGTGTTTTATATTTAGGCTCACATGCAAGTATTTACAGAAGTGAGAATAATTACTTCGGCATGGTGTGCTTTATCCGTGTAACGTAATGGGAACAATTAATCTCTCTTTAAAGTTAAGATTACTCCTCAGTTGATGTTATGACTCAGGAAACTTTGAAACAGGGTATACTTCAAACTGCTGCTGTCCTGTCCTTATGTCAGTGAATTAAGGTGAAAATAACACCTTTGAAATGATGTTTTGTCTCTGGAGATAAATGCAGGTTTAACTTCTGGTAAGTAAAGTTGTTTTTGTCTTAAGATCTGTTGTAGCATATGAAAAAAACATTACTAGCTCTGCTCTCTCGCATCTAGATTCTTGGTGGTTCTTTACAGTCAGCAAAAAAGTTAGAACTTAATGTAGTTTATTTACAAATGTTTACCAGCTGAATCTGCAAAAGCTGCCAGTGGGTTTTGAGAGCAATGGGATGCTGAACCTGTGCTGTGTTGTCTGCATTGTGTGTGTAATGACTGCAGTGCTTCAGGTGGGGCCTCATGGGAGTGGAGTAGAGAGGGAGAATCCCCTCCCTCAACTTGCTGGCCATGCTTTTCCTGATTCATCCCAGGATACAACTGGATTTCTGGGTGCATGTTGCCAGTGTGTGCCCAATTTCTCAAGCACCAGTAACCTCAAGTCCTTCTCTACTGGGCTGCTCTCAATCCATTCATTCCCAAAGCTCAGCTGATGGTGGGGAATTTCCCTGCCCCAGGTGCAGGAACTTGTACTTGGCCTTGCTGAACTTCATTTTCTGCAATGAAGAAAGACAATTCTGTGACAATGCCTCAGCTAAGTTCCTGGCTTTGATAATATGAACACAGCAGGTTCACATTTATAGGAAACAAAAGTGATTCTTGTTAGCAACAAGTAATTTAAATAATTTGTCTTTATGGATGCATCTTTTAAAAGTAAGTGCTCTTTAGTTCAGAATTACTTTAATTTACTGGAATGTCAAGCAGTAAATGAAATCCAGAGGTTTTTCATCAGAGCTAGCTATGGTTTCTTTGTTTGCTTGACCTACAGAGTTCTGCTTTGGAAACAGTTTCACAGTTATGAGCCTGGAAATGTTTATGCCACTGTTAAATTATTTTGTTGTTGTTATTTTACAGATTGAAACTCCTATGATGAATATAATTCCAGGTGGAGCTGTGGCAAAACCTTTTATCACATACCACAACGAGCTGGATATGAATTTGTACATGAGAATTGCACCAGAGCTTTACCATAAGGTAAAATACAAACCCTTCTGATGGCTAAGCCCATCTTCTCCAGACTGTTGTGATCTTGTTCTACAAAAGAAAATGTAGCCAAAATGAGGATTATTCTTCAAGAAAGGTGAACTCATTTGTCTGGAGGAGAGAAAATGTATCTTGAGTGAAATTTGTACAGTCATGTTGCAGTTGTGTGTGTTTGAGCTCTCTTCAGGTCTTTTGAAAAAGTTGGTTTGTTCACTGGGATTTCCTTTTGTTTAGATGTTGGTGGTTGGAGGCATGGACAGAGTATATGAGATTGGGCGTCAGTTCCGAAATGAGGGAATTGATATGACTCATAACCCTGAGTTCACAACTTGTGAATTCTACATGGCTTATGCAGACTACCATGACCTGATGGAAATTACAGAGAAGTTGCTTTCAGGTGATGTATGCAACATTAAAAAAGAGAAGAATCTCGTAGAAGCACATATTATGTGGCCTTCTCTTGTTCTAAACTTCAGGTTCCTTTCGCAGGGATGGTGAAACATATTACTGGAAGTTACAAGATCACTTATCATCCAGATGGTCAAGAGGGACAGGCCTATGAGATAGATTTTACCCCTCCCTTCCGGCGAATTAGTATGGTGTCTGATCTGGAAAAGGCCATAGGAGTGAAATTTCCACCAGCTGAGTGTTTTGAAACTGAAGGTTAGATGCTGAGTATGAATGTCCTGTCATTCTTCCTTAACAGAAAAACAGTAAAAACTCTTGAGTTCCCAGCCTGCAGTCTATCAGCTGCGTTTTGAGGTGGTACTAGCACATGGGATTTCTTTTCTCTGGTTTTGTGTGTTACTGAAGAGTCCAGAAAGAAGTCTTCATGCCTTGCAGTCTTTAGCAGGATCTGACTCTTTTGCTACTTCCTTTCTTGAGTGTATGTGATGTTATTCCCAAGAGGCACGATCTGGGGAGTCCTTGATCTGCTGAAGAGACCCAGCTTTTTACTATTTGTTGTCTTCTGTGCAGCTGAATCTCCATGCATGTGATTGTAGGTTAGGAGTATGATTACTCTGGGCTTTCTTCACAATGTGTGTATGGGCTGTTTTGTTCCTGGAATCCTGAGCCATAGGAGACAAACTCATATATTTTTCAGTGGTATACTTTTTTACATTTTATTGCTATCCCCCAGTGATAATGGCCAGCACTTGTGTGGGGTTGTGCTTAACTGTTGTCAAGTTTTTGAAATACAAAATAGATTTTAGTGCAGATTGATCAAAAATCAAACTCTGTTTTTGTAGATTGACTTCTAAGCTCATGGTTTCTGTGGTGTATACCATTACGATCTTAGAAATCACTCTAAGACATGTTGAAGGGCGCAGAAATTTAAAAAAAAAAAGTGGCAGCCTTAGTGGCTTTTCTAATTTTTCTCTACAACAATTTCAGAAACTCGCAAGTTCTTTGATGATCTTTGTGCAGAGAGAAATGTTGAGTGTCCACCTCCAAGGACAACAGCCAGGCTTCTTGACAAGGTAAGTAAAGGTGGTGTTTTTATAACCCTAATGTCCTGAAGGATCTTTCCGTATCAACAGGTACCAACAGAGGTCCCTTCAGAGCAAAAGTTTAGCTGCCTTTTGGAAAACGTGGTGAAATGCACTTCAGCTTTTCTTCACAGTGAGAAAACTTGCTGCATCAAAATCTTTTTGGTGTTGTCTACACCAAAATGTAGTTTACAGATGCCTGTTTAATGTGAGCTCTAGAGTTTGATAATTAGTGTCTTATGATTAAAGCAGATGTGCTTTGCCTTATGTCAGTTTTATCTGTGAGATCTGTGCGTTTGGATGTACCTTACAAAGCTAGTAGGCTTACCATGTAGTTCTGCTGTCAGCTCTACTAAGTCTTTTCCTTTGTACCTAAATTTGCCTGATAGCTTTTTTTCTGCTGCTTTTCCTATTGGCTGTTGTCACAATGTGCAATTTGAATAATGCTGTTGGTTTTTTTGTACAGTTTCTGCTATGTCATTTTTCTTATCCAAGCAGGACATGTACTCTCTGTTAATGAAGACATTATCATGATTAGTAATGATCACTTTGGAAACTGTTCAGTTTTATGGCACCTTCTTCAGATGTGGAAAGAAGGAAGTAGGATGTGTGGGGAAGGCAGTGCTACGAATGTGATACTGTGCTCTGCATACTTGTTTTACTTTTGTTTTCCCAGTTAGTTGGTGAATTCCTGGAAGTCACATGCATCAACCCTACATTCATCTGTGACCATCCACAGATCATGAGTCCTCTAGCCAAATGGTAAGATTATGAGACACAGTCAGTGTGTAACTCTTTTAGACCCTCTACTCCTACTTTATTAACAAGGAAAAAAAATGAAGAAAGAAAAAATCGAAGTCATGTGTGAAAATAGATTCTGATATTATATACTAGTTTGTGAACTCTGATACCAACCAAGGTAAACATTGGTTCCTGAAACCCATCATCCAGGGCACAGGTGGGCTGATGTTCAGTGATTTGAGGTTTTGACAGCTGTTAATTGCTGAGCATGGGCACTTCCCCGGAGCACTTAATTTATGTGGTCTTTTCTTCTGTAAAGATGTTTGTTTGAAGATGTGGTTGTTTTATCTTCACTTAGGCATCGCTCTCATGTGGGACTAACAGAACGCTTTGAACTCTTTGTCATGAAGAAGGAGGTGTGCAATGCGTACACAGAACTTAATGATCCTTTCCGTCAGCGGCAGCTCTTTGAGGATCAGGCCAAGGTATGGTGCTTGCTGATACGGAATCACTGATACAGGCACATGAGCGAAGAATACTCCTATGTTAGTCCGTAATGCTGTGCTGTGGCTTAAGCCCTGGCAGTACCTCAGCACCACGCAATTGCTTGCTCACTCTCCTTCTCCTCCCCCCACCCCGACCCGCTCCCAGAGGGATGGGCAGGAGAATGGAAAGAACACAATTCCCATGGGTTGAGATAAGAACAGTCCAGTAACTAAGGTATAACACAAACCACTGCTGCTACCACCAATCATAATGATAAGGGAAATAACAAGGGAAGAGAATATAGCCACTCACCACGGCTTCCCCTCCTCCCTGTCTGAGCATGAGGCTCATAAAGTCCTTGGTCAGAGTAAACATTACTGAGCAAGAACTAAAACCATCGGTGTTATCAGCATTGTTCCCAGGCTGAAAGTCAAAAACGCAGCAGTGCACCAGCTACTAAGAAGGGGAAAAATGGCTGCTACTGCTGAACCCAGGACAGAAACTTGCAGGTAAGGAAGGAACTGAGCCTAGAGCTGTTTTGGCAGCAGCTGTACAAGTGAGCTCTGTGATTGTCCAGGTGCTGAGGTTCCTTCATCTGTTTCTCATGCAGCTGTACAAGGCTGTGGTGTTACCAGTTACATGGTTGCTAAAAATATCAATATATTCCCCCTTTTTGGTAGGGGTAGGAGTTAGGAGAAGTGGTACTACCGAGCTCTCTGCAGCCCATGTTTTACTGCTCATTCTCTTAGGCAAAGGCTGTGGGTGATGATGAAGCCATGTTCATTGATGAGAACTTCTGCATGGCGCTGGAGTATGGCCTTCCTCCCACGGCAGGCTGGGGCATGGGCATTGATCGCTTCACCATGTTCCTGACGGATTCCAACAATATCAAGGTGAGTGGTAGAAATGGCAGCACCTACCAGGTGGGTGACACTGCAGAACAGCCTGCCTTTCTAACCAACACCAGACACCATGGCCATTGAGTAGAACACTCTCTACAGCTACCTGAAAGATAGTTTCCCTAGTAACCAGAAATAGGACAAGAGGAAACTGTGCCAGGAGAGGTTTAGAGTGCTCCATCTTGTCAGTGTTCTAGGCCAAGTTGGACACAGGGGCTTGGAACAAGCTGCTCTAGTGGAAGGGGTCCCTGCCTGTGGCAGGGGTTGGGACTGGGTGAGCCTTAAGGTCCCTTCTAGGCCAAACCAGTCTGGGATTCTGTGATATTAGGAGCAGTTCCTTCCCCAGAGGGTGCTCAGGCATTGGAACAGGCTGCCCATTGCAGTGCTGGAGTCACTGTCCCTCCAGGTGTTCACACGCCGTGGAGATGAGGCCGCAGTACCATGGGTTAGGGGTGGCCTGGGCAGTGCAGGGGATGATGTGAAAGTCCTTTCCCAACCCGGCTGGTTCCACAGTGCCGTGGAACGCGCTTCCCTCACGGCACTTAGGCCTGACCGGGCCCGCCGCGGGGCCAGGGTCGGTGGCCTCTGCCGGGGAGCGGTGCCCGGGGTGGGCCGGTGTCGCTGACAGTTGCCGTTTCCGCAGGAGGTGCTGCTGTTCCCCGCCATGAAGCCGGAGGACAAGAGGGAGGCGCCGCCCGCCGAGGGCACCTCCGTGTGACGGTCGCGTCAATAAACAGCGCCGCTCCGCCCGCCTCGCCTGTGTGTGTCTGTGTGTTCGTGAGCGCATGCGCGGCCGACCCGCTCCCGGCGGGCTCCGCGGCACGGGGCAGCGCGTGCGCGGTTGCGGTGTGGCGCTGCCCGGGGCCGGGCGCTGAGGGCGCTGCCGCTGTGGGAGCCCCGGTCCTGGCAGTTCCTGGTTCCGTGCGGTGCTCTTCGGTATAAACGGTGCTGGAGAGGGGTGCGGCTGCGCCTCTGGCAGCGGAGTCTGGTGCGGGACACCGGCATGCAGCGCAAAGTGGGAGAGAAGGGGGCTGCAGATCAGTGCTGTGATGGGATCCGGCGCCTCTCGGGAGCCGCGTGGTCAGCTGATGAAGTTGCTGAGCTGTGCTGCCTGCACTATCGGAGCAGGCTCCCTAAGCAGGGGAAGCCAGATCCAAGCAGGGAGTGGACTTCACTGGCAGCTGTTGTCAAAGTGGAGTCCGCAACCCAAAGAGAGGTTCTTGCTAGTGCAGGGGCTCTGCAGGGTAAGACAGCCGTGGGGACGGGGGCAGCTGGCGGCGAAGGGGAGAGGAGATGGCAGCCCTTGGTGCTTTCTTATTTAATACCTTTGAAAAAAAAAACAACCCCATTTGCGTCTCCACCCAAATGCTTTACTCTGCAAAAGCTTTTACCGCTTCTGCCTAGAAAGAGACGGTTATGGTGAAGCTCTGTTCTTCTCAGGCTGTATCTGAGAGGAAAGAAGTTTAGGAGGACCTGAATTACTAATGTAAACCCTTGCACAGGTGTGTTCAGCTGCTACTTGAAAGAGTGCTGGAAGGTCTCAGCTGGCTCTCCATTAACAGGCTGCCTTATTACATTTTGTGTTGGTGATAGTTCCCCATTACCTTTTCCCTTGCTGGCACTTCCATATTGCTTCACAAATTATATCCCATGCTTGCTTACAAGTTTGAGGAATCATCTGCCAGCGTCGCAGGGTCCAGCCAAGCATGGCAGGCATGTGCTAGTGCTGCTGCAATGTATCACAGACCTTTTCTGGGGCTGGTGAGATACTGTTTCCTTTCTGGAATGTGGTATGGCCTGCCTCACTGTATCTTACCTTTGACACAATGTCCTGTGTGTTACCTCAATGACTTTATGAGAGCAGTGCTTCTGGTCACAGCTTGTTCAAGTAATAATGTTTCCTTTTTCAGTTACAAAGGAAGTTGTCGCTATGGGAACAGGAACAAAATGTATTGGCCAAAACAAAATGAGAAAAACTGGTAAGTATGGTGTTCAGACCAGACATCCTGTGCTACCTTTTCTTGCTGGTGTCATAAAATCGGTGCAAATGTCCAAGGCTCAGACTTGAAGGCAGAAGTGTCAGGCAGGTTTCACTTCATTAAGAAGAGAGGAGTTTAGGCAGCCACAATGGCTGCCCTGGAGCTTGTTGTACTTGCTGCCTTGAAGGTGAATAAACTTTATATATGTGAAAATGTGTAATTTAGGCCCTTCATCTGCATGCCCAAAGAGTTAATGACTAAAAGCAAACCAAAACATAAGCAAAATAATTGTGCTGCTTTTGCCTCTGATGATCTAGTTTTGTCGTGGCCTGATGCGAAAGAGCCACTGCTGAGTTAGGGGAGGGATGGCACCGGAATGTACTAACAGGCTGCTTGTCTTTACCATGTGTTCTGCAGCTAGCTAATTTCAAGTATTTGTACAATAGTGTGTGTGGCACAAACATGACTTCTCACAGCTACATTTCTTACCATTTATTGTAGGATTTTGCTCTGCATGTCTGCTTCTTTACTCAGGATGTTTGTTCCCTCTCCTAGGAGAGGGCAGAAGCTATAGGAACTAAAGGAGAAGTGCTTGTAAATATGTAGGTACAGGGCTTTCTACCTTCTTTAGGTAGATCTGCAGATCTTGTTCCTTTAGATACTGCAGTAGGCAGATATTGCTGGAAGTTTGACGGTGAGATGTGTAAATCTGGTAAATATCAGTGTTATTTACAAGAAAAGTAATTTATATTGTACATAGTGCAACAAGAGATTTCACCCAACAGCTTAACAAGCACTTAAAATTTTCTGAATGCTATGCTTCATCTGAGAATATAAAGAGTTACCATTAAGAAGAAATACCATGAGGGTTTTGAAGGAAGCCAGTGTTTATTCAACTCAAAGGATTTCAGATGCCAGAAGAGTTACAATTTGGTATTTCAACAAGTCTTGGGTTTGCTGCGGAGTGAAGAGTTTTATCCTTCATTTGAGTAGGCTGTTGACCTCCTTTTGTAGCTATAGGAATTGTAAATATCTTGCAGTAACTGAATACCAATGTTAAACCTTCACATGCTAACAAATCTGGAGAACTGACACCTGTCAAATCTTGTTTGCTTTGTTGTCTCCTTTTTAGTAATGTTGCATAATGTTCTTATTTGGTTGTTGCTTCAGGAGATGTTCTGAATGACAGTCATGCTGAAGTTGTGGCCAAGAGGAGCTTCCAGAGGTGAGGCATGAAGTTTACGTGCTGTTACTCAGTGCCTCTTGAGGTTGGTTGATTTTGGTAAAAATGTTTTGACCTATAACAAAATAGCCACATTTTGCAGCCTCAGGGATAAGAGTGTAATGAAAGAGAATGGTATTACTTCTGTGTAGGCAACACTTTTTTTCCCCTTTGCAACAAGCAGTTTAGCCTAATTTTTACACTTTTAAGTGGTGTGAAGGCCCTTTCACAAAAGCTTGTTTCTTTGTTCTTGTAGAGCCTCTGAACAAAGTAGGATCTGATTTCATGTGATGTCAGTGCTGATTTGATGAGTAGCTGTCAAGGGTAGCCTTTTTTTTCTTTCCTACATAACAGCCGTCGTGTTCACATTGGATAAGCTGGTTCAAGGAACCAAGACAGGAGAATAGTAAAGCTACAGAACAGAGACGTGATTTGAAGAGACATTTAACTCCACTGAATCTGACCCTGTCAGGTTGCTGTTACTAAGGTTCCAATGATGTGGTTTTTGTTTATGGATTATGTTGGATCCCATCTATCTTTAGAAGCAAAACTTCCTTGCTCCTCACAGACTTTATCAGCAAAGGACAGGCACTAGTGGGTGTCTCATGTTTGTTATTTTCCCATGCATCAGAAATGAAGTAAATGTTTCATGAAAACTTTCTGCCTAACAGGTATCTTCTCCATCAGATGTGGCTGGCAGCTTCCCATCAGCAATGCAGTATCTTTATTCCAGGAACTGAAACTGGGAAATGGAAACTCAAACCAAATGTCATATTTGTTTTCTTCTCCAGTCACACCCCATGTGAGTATGCTGGAGTGAACTAATTTCATTGCTCTCACTTGTAGAATCTCTTCTGCCCCTGCCTTTGGTCTTTTTGGTCTGGAGTGAGTGTGAGGCAGTAATTCATGTTATTAGTATGTGCCCTAAGATGTACTTGACTGGTCCTTCACAGATACATTTGGCATTTTTTTCTCACTGGATGTGATTTGTGAGAATTCAGGAAATCTGGTATGTTGTTCGTTATATAGTGGAATGCTTCGCTTTCTCTTTAGATGATAACAGCTACTATTCTATTTCCCAGAAACTAACATACTTGTCAGAGGTTCTGTCATGTCTCCTGATTGCTTTGCTTTAAACATTGTCTCCTTGGATTCAAATTATAATGGTATCATTGACAATTATCACAGTTCCTTAAAAAAAAACCAACAAGCAAAGAAACCCAAAACCAGCAATCCATCAAACACAAAACCTCAGAAAAAAGCCGATAACAACCAAAATAACCCCAACCACAGCCATTGTTTAAGCCCAGCCTGTAACCCAGAACCATGCAGTTGCTTGCTCACCGCCCCGCTTCTTCCCTCCTGCTCCTGGAGGGATGGGGAGAAGAATGGAAAGAATGTAACTCCCATGGGTTAAGACTAGTCCAGTAACTAAGGTATAACACAAATCACTACTGCTACCACCAATAATAATAATGATAAGGGGAATAACAAGGAGAGAGAATATAAAAATAAAAAAGGAAGGGGAAAATACTGATAAACGCAAGTGATGCACAAATAATTGCTCATCACCTGGCAACAGATAACCGACACAAGCACTGATTTGGGCCTTCTGGGTAATTCCCCCCAGTTTTTGTACTGGGCATGATGTGCTGTGGTATGGAATACCCCTTTTGTTAGTTTGGATCAGGTGTCCTGTCTCTGCTCCTCCTGGCTTCCTGTGTCCCTCCTCACTGGCAGAGCATGAGCGACTGAAAAGTCCTTGACTGTGGTAAGTGGTGCTGAGCAACAATGAAAACACCCATGTGTTATCAGCAATATTCTCAGACTCAAGCACATCCCAAGCACAGCACTGCAACAGATATTAAGAAGGAGAAAAGTGACTTGTTACAACTGAATGCAGGACACACAAAAACCCCCAAACCACTAAAAAAAAAGATAAAACTCAATCAAACCAAAGAAAAAAACACCAAACCCAAACAACAAACCACCAAAACAAAACCAAAAACCCCCTAACAAATCAAAACCAAATTCCCACAAAACAACCAAAATTTCCACCTACAGAACAGTCCCCTAATCCAAAACTTATGGGATGGATGCAACTTCTTGTTTTGTCCAGGAAAACACTTTTGTTAAAAAAAACCAAACCAACAAACATCACAAAGATGAGCTCTATTAGCAAAATGTAGAAATGAGACTTCTTGGGTCTGTCATTTTAATGGAGGTCTCAATGTTATCACAATCTTACCAGTATATTCTTCAACTGCTAGTCTGTTACCAGAGTCAAGAGGTCACAGTGCTCTCAAAATACACCTCATTAGTACTTCACATAGTGAATTAGTTGCTCATACTTTTGTGTGATTTTGATGGCATTGCTGGAATACACTATGATGGTTTTCTTTAGTAATGCAATATCAGAATAGAGTCCACATTTATCTCCAAATTTAATAGCAAGAATAGTTTCTGACTGCCTTTTTCTCACATACCTGTCACGCCTGGTTGGCTTTGAACTGAGCTTCAGAATTCTGTTTTGATCTTGTTTTAATAATACAGATTAAAATTTGCATTTTTATTTGATAGGTTATTATTTACTTACTCCTTTGAGAGTTGTATTGTTTAGTTAGATCAGACTAGTTTTCCTCTGAGTCTTCAGCACTGCCTGTGGTCTGTCAGATGCCAATGACACCTTTAGCTTTATGATTTTTATTTTAAATTTTGCTTTTTTGATTATTTCTTAGGTAGAATGGAAAACATGAAATTAAACATAGGTTGGATAAAATTTCAATGAAGTCTGATTCTTCATTGTACATCAGTGTCGCTTGAAAAGCGTGTTCTCATAGTTAAAATTTTCCTGAGAACAAATCTGTGAAAGCCAATAGCAGTCATCATAGTACTGCTGTGATATGTTCCAATCACAAGAGATACATTTGGCAAATTTAAATATTATTTCTTCTGTTGTAGGTGGAGATGCTTCTATTATTCCAATGAGTGAACCAGTGAACCAGCTTTGTAAGCCAGCAACTGGAGCTGATGCTGTTGGACAGTTAGCAGAGTGTAGAAGTAACCATGATCATTTGGGTCTAGAAGATAAAAGGAAATCAGAGAAAATGGCAAGTGACCATAAAATCAAGAGAATGAAAACTGACAATGATGGTTATTTTTCTGTAATCACTGAAGGCCTGGCTGTTCAGCAAGGATCTGTGGAACGAGAAGATGACACAAATCCAGAGGGCTGTGAAGGTTCTGCAGAGAGGCAAACAGCTAATAAGGAGACTACCTTAAGGAGACCAAAGGTAGCAGATGTTTATAGAACTGGAGCAAAATGCGTGCCTGGAGAGCTGAGTGATGCCCGAATACCTGGACTAGGTTATCACTGTGTGGGGTTATTACGAGTGAAGCCAGGTCGTGGGGACAGAACATGCTCAATGTCCTGCAGTGATAAACTGGCTCGTTGGAATGTATTAGGGTGTCAAGGAGCTCTTCTGATGCATTTCCTGCAGTATCCATTATATCTGTCAGCAATTATAGTGGGGAAGTGTCCATATAGCCAAGAAGTCATGAGGAGAGCAATTATTGAAAGGTAAGTGTTCACTGGAAATCACATGGTGTGTATGGAGACAATGAATCATGGAAGACAACATATCACACAAATACCAGAACTTTTTTCCAGGGTCATATGCAGAAAATGTCAATTTCTGCAAATTCACATTTTCAGAAAGTGGCCCTGTGGAGTATGGAGAAAAGGTGACTCCTGCTGGTGGATCAGACTTGAAGATTCACAAAAGAGTTTCCATTAGATTCTGGATCCCCTTGGTTGTCCCATCACAGAGCACTGAGAAGCTGTTACCCACCAGAGTTTTTCTAAAAGCTTTCCAGCAGAAAAAGCAGCTGGAAGGACATGCAGTCAGTGTAGTGAAGTTGGACTTCTCAATTTATTCAGTTATCCGTACTCCAGAGAGTCATTCTGAGTAGTAAGGTTCCTTTTACATAACTGTGTTGATGAGCAAAAGCAGCTTTTATGTCGTGCAGCAGCATTCCTAATATTAAATTAAAAAGCTCCCAAATCCATCCATCATAAATGCAATCTGAAATTACTCCAAGTAAATGCATAGGTAGACTTTTGCACTGTCTTTCTGGTTGTCCTTACAGACCTTTATAACAGCCTTAAATTCAGCTTTCACTGATTTTAGACCCTGCTTTCAAACTAACTTTCTAGCAACTAAAAGAGGCAGTATATTAAACTTACTTGGAAGGGAATTGTAGTAAAACCAGTTTACTTTTTGCTGTCTTTCTGAGCTTGGATCTGAACTTAAAATTTCCCAGGAGGTTAATATTTGGGTTATTGCATTTGCATATAAGTCCATCCCATGTAAAATTTCAAAGTTATATTGTCAGCCGTTCTCAGTAGAAGTTTCTGAAAGCTGCTGTTCTAAAGTTGTGACTGTTCCTTGTGTCTTCAGGTGAGCTGTGCATCCCTTGGAAACCGACTTCGGGACCTAGCACAGAAATTGCTGTGGTGTGGTGGAGTACATTTAGGTTTAGAAAGATGAGTCTGTTTGGCAACCAGATTGAAAAGTCATGATCTCATGTCAGCACTTGTTTCTGTTCATATTCATAGAATCATAGAATAGTTAGGGTTGGAAAGGACCTTAAGATCATCCAGTTCCAGCCCCCCTGCCATGCTCAGGGACACCTCACACTAAACCATGTCACCCAAGGCTTTGTCCAACCTGGCCTTGAGCACTGCCAGGGATGGAGCATTCACAGCATCCCTGGGCAACCCATTCCAGTGCCTCACCACCCTCACAGTAAAGAGCTTCCTCCTTATATCCAATCTAAACATCCCCTGTTTGAGTTTTAACCTGATACCCCTTATGCTGTCACTACAGTCTCTAATGAAGAGTCCCTCCCCAGCATCTCTATAGGCCCCCTTCAGATACTGGAAGGCTGCTATGAGGTCTCCACGCAGCCTTCTCTTCTCCTACCTGAGCAGCCCCAGCTTCCTCAGCCTGTCTTCATACAGGAGGTTCTCCAGCCCCTGATCATCCTCGTGGCCTCCTCTGGACTTGTTCCAACAGTTCCATGTCCTTTTTATGTTGAGGTCACCAGAACTGCACACAATGCTCCAGGTGAGGTCTCACAAGAGCAGAGCAGAGGGGCAGGATCACCTCCTTTGACCTGCTGGTCACGCTCCTTTTGATGCAGCCCAGGATACGGTTGGTTTCTGGGCTGCAAGCGCACACTGAAGCCGGCTCACGTTCATTTTCTCATCAACCAACACCCCCAAGTCCTTCTCCTTGGGCTGCTCTGAATCTCTTCTCTGCCCGACCTGTAGCTGTGCCTGGGATTGCTCCCACCCAGGTGTAGGACCTTGCACTTGGCATGGTTAACCTCCATGAGGTTGGCATCAGCCCACCTCAGAAGCATGTCCAGGTCCCTCTGGATGGCATTCCTTCCCTCCAGTGTATCAACCAAACCACACAGCTTGGTGTCATGAGCAAACTTGCTGAGAGCACACTCAATCCCACTATCCATGTCACCAGCAGAGATGTTAAACAGGACCGGTCCCAACACCAGTCCCTGAGGGACACCACTCGTTACTGGTCTCCAGCCGGACACTGAGCCATTGACCACAACTCTTTGTGTGCGGCCATCCAGCCAGTTCTTTATCCACCGAGTGGTCCATCCATCAAATTGATGTCTCTCCAATTTAGAGACAAGGATGTCGTGTGGGACAGTGTTGAATGCTTTGCACAAGTCCAGGTAGATGACATCAACTGCTCTACCCCTGTCCATCAGTTCTGTAGCCCCATCATAGAAGGCCACCAAATTGGTCAGGCAGGATTTCCCCTCAGTGAAGCCATGCTGGCTGTCACCAAGCACCTTGTTGATTTTCATGTGCCTTAGCATGCCTTCCAGGAGAATCTGCTCCAAGATGTTGCCAGGCACAGAGGTGAGACTGACTGCTCTGTAATTCCCCGGGTCATCCATTTTCCCCTTCTTGAAAATGGGGGTTATATTTCCCTTTTTCCGGTCATTGGGAACTTCACCTGACTGCCATGATTTTTCAAATATGATGGACAGTGGCTTAGCAACTTCATTTGCCAGCTTCTTGAGCAAAACTTCATGCTTCTGGGACACTTCACACTTCCCATGCAAGCTAGTATCTGCCTGGTCTGTCCCACCACTTCCATTCACGCTTTGAATGTGCAGTGCAAGCTCACCTTTTGTAGTTTTCATGCCTTCTGAGGGATGCACTTCAGAATTCTGCTGTGAGTCTGGGCCTTCAGCTTCTGTAAAGGATGAGATTTGTGGCTTCTTAAATCTGGCTTTGGCATACTTGTTTCTCATCCTCCTGCTCTGCAATGTAGAAAGAATTTTAATTTTTGAACCTGACCCACCATTAGGAATGATTGAAATGGCAGAGAGAGGAGCCAAGGAGGAGAGGTACTCTGCTGCGCTTCATGTTCGCCGACAATGAGGGGATCAGTGGGGATGCGAAAGGCAAAAGAGGCCCTGGTTGCAGTGACCATGAATTGGTGGAGTTCAGGATTCCAAGGGGAGGGAAGGAAGTAAAAAGCAAACTCACAACCATGGACTTCAGGAGAGCAGGCTGCTTCGAAGAGTCATGCAGGCTGTGTCACCTAGCATGTGACAGCTTGCACTGGTCGGCTGTGAAAACACTGAGTTGTCTTAGACTGGAAATGCCAAGTGTAGGTGCTTATCTGTGATGATAAAAATCTGTCTGCTTCTTTGATCTGAACTACACCCTGTGTAGTTTTTCATTATATAGTGGAATGCTTCACTTTACTGTGAGCAGTATTCTGGTAACACAACTTGTCACCTCAGGGAAGTTTATGCGAGGTGAGGTGCACTGCTGCTAAATGAAGAAAATCCTCTGCTGTTCACTGGCTTTCTTGCTCCTCACAACTCTGAGTTGATGAAAACTATTCCAGCAACAAAAGGATTGGAAGTGAGTATTTCTCTTGCTTAGGAGGTTGGTTCAGTGCAACAAAGGTATCTGCAAGTTTTAAAGGACAGTAAGTGGAACAGGGCAGAGTGAAGGGAAAGGAGGGCAAGAAGGAAACCCAGGAGCTGAACCTCTCCCATTAAGAGCCAGTTACTACACCAGTTCCTCTGAAAGGTTTGAGTTTATTTAGTAACTCCTTTTCTCCATAGCCTTGCATCCTTCTAGGATGGTTATAAAAGACATCATAGTATATTAATTGGGGAAACTCTATAGCTATCTCTGCAGTGGAGTTTACTGGGTAATTCTTTCCTCACTCTGTAATACTTGATATCTTTCCTCATACAATCATAATCCCATTCAGTGTGTAGCAGTAATTTAAAGTAACGCAGGTAAGATTATGCATATAACTGTAAATGTATCTTGTACCTTTTTAGTCTTTGATTATGAACTTCCAGGTTCATAAAACAGTTGTTAGTGTAATATGGTTTACTATGTAAACACTTTGATTATTGCAGTCTTTATCCTCCATATTTTACCTCCATTGATTAGGAAGGTTAACTAACCCTTATATCTAGACCTTTTTTAAAAATCAGTCACATTTTTTTAAGATGGACAAAGTCTTAACAAACTAGGTCGCTTTGTTTTTTTAGCAAATACTTTTTTGAAGGGAAACGTGCCCTCAAGCCTCCTTGTCTTTCTTCCACAACTCATGCTAAATTCAGTTTTAATGTAAAAAGTAACATATTTTAGATTGTGGGTGGAAATTGCACAAAATCAGCTTGTTTAGGAAGAGCAGACTTAAAATCACTTGCATTTTTCTGTGCCTACTTTAGGTGTCAGCACATCTCATGTTTACCAGCTGGTTTTGTCACCCAGGAGGTTAAGCTGCTGCAGTCAGATCTTCAGTTTGAGCACAGCCGTCAGGCAATTCAGGAAGCACAGACTAACAGCAAAACAAAACTTGTGCCTTGCAGTGCAGGTGAGTTCACCTGGGCTAGTTGCATAACTGTGTGCAGAAATCCAAATAGAAATGAGGTGGTTTTTCTGGTTTTCTAAAATGGAACATCATTCATCGCCAATGCTAGAGGCAACATGTGACTTAGAGCAAGGAATTAATTTCAGGTCAGAACTTAATTGTTAATAATTAATAATACTCAGCTCAGCCTCTCGTTCTCTGCAGGTAATTTTCAGACTGAATGAACACCTGGTTGATGCCATGAAGAATTTCTAAGCTAAACAAAGACAGGAAACAAGCAGCTAAAGTGGAAGTTCTGAGGTCACTAAAAACCCCCAAAATATCAAAAGGCTGCTTGTTTCAGTTAGTTTTGCATTCTCCTTGGTAATGAACAGAAGAATTGCCGTGCTGAGTTATGCTTGTAACTGCTGCAGAAATCTGTGAACGTAAAAAGAATACAGAGTAGTATAGTGTGAGGGTTTAATTGATAGAGGGTTTGGACATTGCATTTTTTGTCATGGTGATGAATGAATATGCAAGTCACGCTGTGATTTAGCAACATGGTGTCTTTTGGGAAAAAACTCAAACACTGGAGCTGCCACCATGCGTGTACGGTTACTAGTACTAGTTAAACAGTTTCTTTAAGCTTGGACATGCCTACCATCTGCTGTTGTATACTTTTCTGGCTTAACTGGAACTGGAAATTATTCTCTTACAATAGACCTGATGATAAAACAGACTGCAAACAAAGGGTTCCTGAATGGAATTCAGATTCATTAGATTGGATTTTTTGCAGGTGCCAGGAGGGAAAATATTTTGATTCTGTGAGATAGGAAACAAAATCCATCATTGAAAAATGGCGCCAGTTTACTTTGCAAAAAAGATCTGAAGCCAGCTGCTAAATCCCTGTGTATGACTTTCTTTCTGTACAGTTACTCATGTCAGTCTATTAAATAAAGATGAATGATGCTTTATCACACTTTTTTGCATATAGAAATTATGCCGTGTTGATTTTTTTTCTTGAAGAGGTGAAAATCAGAATAAATTCAGGGCTGTTACATTGAGCATTGAAATATGCTTGAAAATTGCAGCTGGTATTAAAAATAGAAATGTGTTCTTTTTAATATTTTGAAGTTTGTGCTATAACAAAGGAAAAAAAGAAAAACATTCTCATGTTTAAGTAGATTTTTATCTCTTTGTCAGAGGATGTCAGACTCTGACCAGGTGGTTTTAGATACTCCCCACATGTAAGATGAAGTGTTCAGTAACAGTTTTTTGTATTTCATGTTGTTTGGGATTACACAGAATTTTAATTCAGCAGAGCTATACAGCATTGTACCTAAATCACAGTGCAAATACCATTTACACTTAGGAGAGCAGGGTAATTGCAGCATACAGCTGAATCACGATACGAGTGCGATTAACATAATCAGCTGCCATAATATGCTTTATAATGTGTAGGTTTTGAGCATCTTGAATGGCAAGATGGTATCATGAAGGAGAAAAACTGAATATTTTCTTTAGAGTTAATGCATGTGCAGCTGTTTTGCCGGTTATGAACACAGAAAAATGGGAGAACTTAGGGAACAAAAAATGTCTCCCCTCTTTTTTTCTCCCCTCAGGAGGGATGGGGAGGAGAATTGAAAGAATGTAATTCCCATGGGTTGAGATAAGAACAGTCCAGTAACTAAGGTGTAACATAACACACTGCTGCTACCACCAATAATACTAATGATAAGGGAAATAACAAAGGAAGAGAATACAACCGCTCACCACCCACCTACAGATACCCAGCCCAACCCAAGCAGCGATCTAGCCCTTCCATGTAACTGTCCCCACTTTATGCGCTGTGGTATGGAATACCCCTTTGGTCAGTTTGGGTCAGGTGTCCTGTCTCTGCTTCCTCCTGTCTTCCCCTCCTCCCTGGCAGAGCATGAGGCTCACAAAGTCCTTGGTCAGAGTAAACATTACTGAGCAACACTAAAACCATCGGTGTTATCAGTGCTGTTCCCAGGCTGAAAGTCAAAACCACAGCACTGCATCAGCTACTAAGAAGGAGAAAAAATTACTGCTACTGCTGAACCCAGGACATCAGTAGAACTTAAAAACTGTTTTCAGGATATTGTGGGACAGATTAGGTATACAGTTTTGTTGCTGTTAACATGCCACTGAGCTTTGGTCCTTATTTATGAATCTATGAGGCATGGTATGCAGAGTTTCAGCATTAAGAAGTTTACAGTCTTAAGATGATAATAAGGTAACCAGAATGGTAAAGGATAAGGTTGTTGGCACTTGCTATGTCTTTGAGCAGATTATTTTTATTTGACTTCTAGATAATAATATTTTTTAAGTACAGTCAGCAAATATTTGATGTATGTCAGTTATCAAACTCAGAGAGAACTATTTGGAGCATACAATACATAATAAAATAGTAGTACACAGTAAATAAGGAAGATGTAGACTGTCTGGTGCAAGTAGTCTGAATTATTTTGGGAATCAGCATGGTATCACATGAACACGTGGAATGAAAGGAACTGTTAAATTCTGCTTTTGTGATGAGAGCATATCCCTTGTTCATAATCCTTTCTTCTGCAGCTATCAGTTGGACTGCAGTCCCTGAGCAGCCTCTGGATGTCACCTCAGATGGCTTCCGTCAGGGAACAACAAAGAAGATGATTGGGAGCCATCAGAGCAGGTATGAGAATGTTGTGGTGTCTGAATGCAGAGATCTTTTTTGTTAGCCCACACACACGTCTGTCAGCTCATATGGTGCCTGGCGTATTGTCAGAGTAGAGGAAATACAGGGAGTGAGGAAAAAAGGGGGAAAGGCAGGGAGCTGGGGAAAGAGAAGAGTCACTGTGTAAGGGAGAGAAGGGGAGTTGGAATGGCAAAAGTTGATGAGGGTTAACAAGTTTATCCTATTTCTTTGTTTTCACTGTTGATTAAAACTAGAATTGTAGGTAATGGTGGTGGTGGATTACGATAAATTTTTATTAAAATATAGATTATTATTGAAATGAGCAGAATTTTTGCTTTGTATCTCTTGAGTTGGTGACTGTGAAGGAAATGCGTGTTCTACAGGTCCTTCTTCTAGATTTCTGTAAGAGTCAGCCAGCTGATCTGCTTGTATGATTGTTAAAACTGTTGTTTTGCAATGTGGCTTTCTGCATTAAAGTTTTAAAATGTTATGAAGTGCCTGTAGCATCTTCCTAACACAAAACATGTCACTTTCCAATAGTTTCTTGACACTGTGCTCTCTAAGAAACATCATAATCCATGTTTAAAGAAACAGTTACACATTTTTCTTGTGGTTGACAGGAATTACTTGTAAACATCTGCAGACAAATCTCTCTCTACACCTTTCTCGGTTTAGGTGAGGTGACCAAAATTAGCACTGGTCTGTGGAAGTTCAGCTTGAGGGCTGCAGTCATGTTTTGGTTATTGGCTGCTTATACTACGGTTTATCAATGGTCATGGTGTTCTTTTTTTTCCTGGGCTTTCTGGGAGAAATATGATAGTCCTGACAGTAGTGAATAAGTAGATCTTGGACAATTCTAGAGGATAATTCATTCACATGCCTGAGAGTTGCATGTTCTGAGCTTCTCATTGACTGAAGGTTATCCTGGTATATCCTAGTATTTCTCGTCTTTCCTGAAAGAAGAGGGCTAGTAACTTTGTGGTCTGTGATGTGTGACATTGGTTTGTGGGGTATTGTTAGCACAGGTGACCTCGGTGACTTAGTGTGTCTTTTGAGACAGGCTTTATGTGCACAGTGGAATATTAATTTTCATTAGGTGGTATGTAATGTATTCCAGAAGATGTGTGAAAGATCGGACAAACCAAACAACCTCTTCTCAGTAGGCTTATGTTTGTTACGTAGCATTTGTGGATCCTCAGCTCTCAAACTCTAGAGCCACTGCTAGGTGCCAGTGTGCTATAGAAATTTAGTTATTGTTGAGAGCTCCTCCTCTCTTTTACATGTGCCCAAAATTTACTAAAACATTCAGAAATTATGGGAGAGGGCCTACAAGACTGTGTGACTTCAAAGGCCTTGTTTCCTTAGGAAATCAGGATTAAAAACAATGTCTGTCAAAGAATACGTAAACTGTTCACACTTGTGTGATAAATCGTCACGAAAGGAACTTCTATCATGAAAATAAGGAATTTATATCCTTACTGGCAGTGGGTGTTTAATAATAAACAAGACTTAATTTCCCTCAAGGAATCTCATGGTGATTCGTGGGGGGTGTTGTTTAGAGTTTCCCCCCCCTTGTATGCTAGATAACGCTAAATATCAAGGAAGGTAAAGCTGACTGACTAAAAGGAATTTGTAGGTAGATGTCTGGTATGTGCTTTTGTTAATACTTATTTAACTAAAACACCAGAAAATACAATATGAACTACTGGCAGATTAACATGAAGATGAAATTTTAGAACATCTTTGCATGCCAATTTTGGGGTTCTTAAAGAACATACTACCAAAATAGAAAGTTTTTTTTTGACTGGTGGTTTTTTTCAGTGTTTCTGGAGAATCAGTTTGCACTTGTTGGAGAGCTCAGTCATTGTAAAGACAAGTGTATAAAGAGAATTTGCTTAAATAGAGAAAGTAGCTGGGGCTCTCAAAAATGAACCATGCTTTATAAACAGCTCTTCTACCTGTGTTCTCTTTGGGGAGGGTGAGGGTCTTAAAGCTGACTGAGATGCATATGGTATCTTCAAACTTTGACTCACTTTATTTTTTGATGAGCCTTTTAATATTTAACTGCTTTGCAGCTGTTGCTGTGTGTGTCCTTGTCACTATTGTGAGAAGGACAGCATTGTTCCATCTATTCCTGCTGATTCTTTTATTTGTTCTGAATAAGTCTGCCAGTTTGAACAAGCCTTTCAAGTCCTCCTGTGCTTGTTTGATCAGTTCTGGGACTAGTCCTTCTGGCTCAACCTTGCTGTAGTTGTGAGCTGATGATGGTGCACTCTCACACAGATAACAATGTGTGGCTATTAAAATGTTCTCTGCAAACTGATAAGAGTGCTGGCTGGCACCATGGTGGCAACAGAGCTCTTTGTCAGTACAACATTTAAAACAAAGTAAAAAGGCAGGTGGGCCACTTGGATGGGGTAGGAAAAGTTAAATTGTTGAGAACTTTCTACATTCTTTGAGAAGTGAAAATGTTTTTCATCAAAAACATTCAGCTGGGATGTAATACTGTGAGCTGTAAGAGGAAGTACAATTCTGAATCCTTTTTCCATCAGAATTCCTGATTTATTTTTTTTTTCTATCAGATCCAAGATCTGTAAAGTGGAACTCTTCCATACATTCCAAAAGCTGGTGATGAGTATTCCACATGAAGATCTGCCAGACACGCTCCGGTAAAGACATTTTTGTTAGATTTAGAAAAGTGATTTCAAACTTAATGAAACTCAATAATTATGTGCTAATACCAGAATCTGCTCATGAATCTCGCTTTTGATAAGTTCATTGTTAAAATTTTGTCTTTGAAAATTATGGCATGTACTTGATGGGTTAGGAAGACTTTTTGGTCTTTCTAATCACCTCCATGGAGAAATAGCTATCACATCTCATATGTTAATGACAGAAGAAATTGCAGGTGGGTTGTTTGGAGTTAAGGTAAGAATCTGGGGCAGCTGATCTGTTCTGAAGGCTTACTTCTTTTGAGAAGGGTAAACTCTGTTCCTGATCAGTGGGGCATTGCACTAGGTCTGGTGTCTAGCTGATGGACACCTCTGTAAGCCTCTTCAACTTGCTGTCTTTGCAGAAAACTCTACATTTTGTTTGTTTGTCTTCTGAGTCAAAGTGGTTTTGTCTGAAGCAGAATTTGAGGAAAAAAAGTTTGCTGTTTTGTTTTGGTTGGTTTTTTTTGGTTTTTTTTTTAGAAAACTGTAGGCTAAAATCTTTTTTTCATCCAAATGTATGATGGATTGAGAGCTAGTAAGGTGAGAAGTTGTAGGGCTCTTTCTGCAATGTATGTATTATGAAGACTTTCTGGAAAGACAGAAAGTTGGCTGAGGAAGCTACACTTGGAGGTTTCTTTTATATTATTAGAAACAAGTTTGATTTATCAGACTGCAGTTTCTTGTGATAGTCACCTGGTCTGGCATTGCATTATGTGCATTACGTGTCTGGTGGTATTCCAGCCAGAACAGCTACCATGGAGTAGGGCTTAGTTTTATATATACAAAAAACTTAACTCTCACTTTGGCTTAGAGATTTGGAGAGATGTAGAAGGTTCCAAGTCCATTGCCTTGAGAGGGTTAGTTTATTTCAGAGTTATTTCCAGGTATGATTTCACCAGGGATGTGATTACGCCAGCTGTTAAGCTAATTTAACTGCTGGTAGCTGCTGAGGGTGATGGTCCCACAGCAGTCTCTGCTGCTGATGGCTGTAGATTCTTGTTTTCTCCCTTGTATCAGTTGCACTTCTCCAGCCTCAGGGTGAGGCAGTTCAACTAGCTTATGCTGCAGAAAACAATTTCCTTGTCTTCTACGTTTTCTATTGGATGAGCTGAATTGGCTCATGTAGGGCTAAAACATGTAATAAATCCTTTGCAAAGGAAGTAAGAGGTATGTGTAGCTGGAAGAAAGGGAGATGGGCTGTTTCTGCCTTTCCTGGTAGCAACATATTAGCTGAGGTGAACCTAAAAATAAAAGTGTGCCCTGGATTTCTATTATTAGATCTTGCATGCCATTGAGTTTCTTGCAGTTACCTTTTGTGTCTGTAGAAGTCTCATAACTATTTTAAAGTTCTGATGCCAGCAGGAGCCGTGCCACTGCTGAAACACTTTCAACTGATTCTATAAATAGAATACACTCTTCTTCAGTTTTAAATATAAAATTGTTAACCTTTTTTGAGTGGGAGTTTTTATCACTTGTTCAGCCATCATAACATCCTCCAAGTAGAGTGTGAGCAGAGTGTGAGCTGTGCCTTGTTGGGTAGGTGACTCATTGTGCTGATCATGTGCTGCTTACATAAAGTCACTTCCCCTCAGGGCTTTTCTAGACTCCAGTGGCTTTGTAATTTCCTTTGACTTTTTTGTCCTTTACCATTCTTCTGCTTGGGTTTCTCCTGACAAAGTCCATCTGATGTGCAGATGTGGCTGCACAAACTCGATTTATACAGTAGAGGTGCTAGCTCACCAGTCAGCTTGTCCAGTTGCTTTCCTGTTGGAAGTCTTTTTTTTCCCCTACTCTTCACTTAGAAAGCAAAATTTAAAAAAATTTGTATTGCTGTTTCCTCCTTCTTCTCTTTCCTTTTCTGCAAAATATTCTGATGTGTTTTCTTCCTTTTTCTTCCTTTTCTCCTTGTAGTTTGAATTTGAGTGGCCCTCAGATAAAAAATCCCACACTCTCAAGTTGTTTCCTCTAAACTCCTGTGTATTTAAGTTACCCAGCTCCATATCTTCTTCCCATTCAAATGCATCTTATCTCCTCCCACAAATGTTTGGCTCTGGTGCTATGCTGTCACCTAGTTTCCTTTTTCCACTTTGTCCTTAAGTTCCTGCTTTGCTTCTTCTAGTCCACTTCTTGGTCTCTTGCCACCCATCCTTTCTGCTCCATCAAGGGAATCTCATTGTGTTGTCCTTTAAAATTTGCTGAACAGTTTTGTCTTGGTACATTCAGACACAAGCCATTCTTTACTTAACGTTTCCTTCATCTAAGGTTGTCCACTGTCAGACCTAGGATACCGGGGCAGTTAAAGCTTTACATGGAACTAGTTTACTGCTTCTGATGCTCTTTTGTTTTCTTCTTTATGGTGTCTAAAGCTGCTTCTCTGGCTTCTTGTGCCTTCCCTTCTCTTTTATTCTTCACTTCTTTCCAGGGAATTGATGTGGGCACTGTTACATTGGAAAAGGGAGAACGCCTACTGGGGCAGAACTCTGCTGGCTCTCCAAGATGCTAAACATTACACTGAGCAGTTGTTTTTGTCAGGATTTAGTTTATTTGCTTTCAACTGAGACAGTGAAGAGGTTGTGTTTAGCTGGCATTAGCTACTTCACGAAGAACCAGATAGTGCTGTGTTATGTTGTTACACTTTCTTCCTTTCTGATAATTTCTATGACCTCTGGCTTCTGAACCTTACTTATATTTTCATTCACATCTCTAGCTAGACTATCTAAACTTACTTGGTTTTTTATAACCTCCACTTGCCGTACTCCATTCTCTTCTGTTGTCTCCCTTTCACATGTTGTTTCATGTTAATGTTTTGAAATTACTGGTACATAAATCCATCATTCCTCACCATGTTGTTTGTGCTCACTGTCAAAGGAGACGTGCCGTGTGGCAGTGTTGTGCCATTGCTAATCTTAATTGTTATGTAGAAACCTCTGCAATATTATTGTTATTTGCAGATCTCTTAGTGGTTATATGGCAAAGGAGGTTTTTTGCATTTTTGGTTGTTTTCCCTGCTGGTAGAAAAACTGCATGCTTTGTGCATCACCTGAGGAAGTGAAAGACTTCTTTTGTCACACAGTGGTATCCACCATACAGAGTCACCAGGCCTTTCAGTTTGTGCAAGGTGTGGCTGGCTCTGCAACCCTTTGTCTGAATGTAAGGGAGGCTTTGTAACATAAACCTGCCCCAAGTTTCTCGTTGGGCTTATTACATGGATCACTGATTCTCTTTTCTCTTAAATTGTAGCCAGGAGCCCTCACAATTAGGATTGGGCTTTATTCATTGTTCCCATTCTGTCTGCAGTAGGAACAATTCCAGTTCCAGTGACACCTGATTGGAGGGTGTGGGCTGCTGTAGAGAGCAGTGCAAGGACTTTCAGATGGCTTTAAGATACATTATAAAACCTTTGTTTGAGGTTCATGTTTAAGGTCTTTTTGCCAGTGTTTATTTGTGAAAAGCAAAAGGATGTCACCAGGTGGCTGCTAAATATTTCCCTATGGAATGAGGGAGGATGATGGTAAGGAAGTGTCAGCCTAATGAAAGTAACTGTCATTGGAGAGCTGCATTTTCAGTGTTACTGATGTTCTCCAAATTAAAACCAAACCAGAACAACCACCATATCTGGCAAGAATTCTGTTGCAATTTTCTAGTACCTTTTCCATTTTCTTTTTAAGATTGGTACATGAAACAGTTTCTGTGATGGTCCTACCACTGCATGGAGGCCTGTGGAGCAGCTAGGTCCTCTTCACTTTCTATACTGCACATCACAGATGCTTGTTTAGGTCTTTGCCAGATTGAAGAATCTTTTAGTAAGTAGTATATTCTGCTCCATAAAGATTCTTCACAATGATCTCAAGACTTGGTCCTTATTTTTTTAATTACTCTGTTGAGCTTCTACATCTTTCTCTATGGGATTGATTTTTTCCACATCTCAGATGACACTGGAAAAAGCCACAAAGTTATTTTTCCTATTTTTGAACAATACATAAAAAATCTGGTCTGCCAAGCTTAGGCACAGCAATATACTGACAGTCTTTCAGATACTGCAGAACCTTATGTTACTGTTAGAGCTTGTTGTATTTGAGCAGACCCCACTCACAGGAAGTCAGTGAGCAAAAACTCAGCATCTTGCCTGCAGTGACTGCATTTGGTCTGTAGCTCTGAATAAGACACTAACAGAATCAGACCCTGTATGTTTTTCTGACCCCTGTCATTATGGATTCACATCAGATTTTTACGTACTGGAGCTCTGTGAACTTTTGCCCTCTTAGATGCGATTCATTAATTTTTGTACAACAGTATGTTCTGTTTGATGCCTTGTGCTTACATCAACATTTTTCATGTGCAGAGTCACTGGAATCTCAAAAGTATATTTTAGTTCAATGTATACGTTTGAATATGTGGTTAAAGAGGTGTTGCTGAGAAGAAAGTACTGCAGAGTGCATTGCTTTTCTTTGCAGGTTGCCTTGCTGGTGAGCCCATTTTTGCTCAGCTTTCCAAGTAGCTGAGCACATGAATGTTTTCAAGCAATAATGGTGATTTGTATAAGACTTTTCCGAGAGTGCAGTACCTTTCAGAGTGAAACCTGTGGATCACATCTCATGTCCGTGGCACACAGCCATCAAAATCACTGTCTCTCTTACATTATAGTGTAGGGGCAAGATTAAAATAGTAAAGAGAAACATAAAAGGAATGTAGTCAGGCAGACCTGGGCAGGCAGTAGATCATACAGTTGTACTGCACTTTGCCTGGAGCAGCAAATTGTCACTTCTGCCAAAAAATGTCACAGGTTCTTTATTACTGATGCTCAGACCCTCAATGGCCCAAACACAGCTGAGATACAAATCGTGAGGGATTTAGGCAGATGTAAGGTGCCTTGAATTTGTGTCGTAGTTTAAAACCAGGCAGAGCTCCTTCACTCACTGTACCCCCCTCTTCTTGCCCTTCCCCTACTCCCGGAGGGACGGAGAGGAGAATCGAAAAGGATGCAACTCCCCTGGGTTGAGATAAGAACAGTTTAGTAACTAAGGTATAACACAAATCACTGCTACTACCACCAATAATAACAATGATAAAGGAGATAACAAGGGAAGAGAATACATCACCTCACCACCAGCCAACCGATAACTTGCCACACCCAGGCCCAACCAAGCTCCGACCGATACCTCCTCCAACCCTGCAGTCTCCCAGCCCTTCCGGCTCACTCCCAGTTACCTCCTGGGCATGACGTGCTGTGGTATGGAATACCTCTTTGGTCAGTTTGGGTCAGGTGTCCTGTCTCTGCTTCCTCCTGGCTTCCCCTCCTCCCTGGCAGAGCATGAGGCTCACAAAGTCCTTGGCCAAACCAAAACATCCTTGTTATCAGCTCTGTTCCCAGGCCGAAAGTCAAAACACTGCACTGCACCAGCTACCAAGAAAGAGAAACATGACAGCTACTGCTGAACCCAGTAATTTGAAAGCATTTTTCCCATGTATAGATTGAAAATTTCTTAGAAGCTTAATGGAGATTTTGAACATGAATTGAATAAATCTGATTTTGGCAGCTCTTTGAGGAAGCTGTTTAAAATGCAGCTTTCTCTTGCATCCACTGTTAAATTCTACAGTGATGTTGTCTGCTTGGAGAATGAGAGCCCAAGAGGCTGCACTCACATGTGCTCTTGTAACTACTACTACAGTGGGGTGAAAATACTGAGCTGCTCCTTGCTGTCTATCCTGCTTTTGTGCTGTGTTGTCCTCTACTGTCTCCTGTAACAGTTTCCAAACAAAGGTCTATTGGAATGATCTAGGTTAGAAGAATCTCTCTCATTTCTCATAGGCTGAGAAAGTTGGGGCTGTTCAGCCTGGAGAAGAGAAGGCTGCGTGGAGACCTCATAGCAGCCTTCCAGTATCTGAAGGGGGGCTATAGGGATGCTGGGGAGGGACTCTTCATTAGAGACTGTAGTGATAGGACAAGGGGTAATGGGTTCAAACTTAAACAGGGGAAGTTTAGATTGGATATAAGGAAGAAGCCCTTTACTGTTAGGGTGGTGAGGCACTGGAATGGGTTGCCCAGGGAGGTTGTGAATGCTCCATCCCTGGCAGTGTTCAAGGCCGGGTTGGACAGAGCCTTGGGTGCCATGGTTTAGTGTGAGGTGTCCCTGCCCATGGCAGGGGGGTTGGAACTGGATGATCTTAAGGTCCTTTCCAACCCTAACTATTCTATGATTCTATGTGTTTTAATTAAATTGTCTCACACTGCTGGATATGAGTTAAAGAGCCGTTGATCTGCCAGCAGATGCAGGAAAAACAGGAACATTTAGCAAGGATGAAATGCGGAACAGCTAGGCATTGGAGTATTTCTCTTGGCTTAGTGGCAGGTGCAATATCTGTCTGTCTGTATCTGTATCTACATATATGCATTCACAGCAAATGCAAGCAAAACAGCTGTTTCACCTTTAACAAGACTGAGCAGGTCAAAAGATCTGTGTTGTAGAACTCATTTTTGATCTTTGACCATCTTAAATGTGACCTCATAAGTACAAGTAGCTGTGTTTTGAAGATATAAGCAGCATCTAGTATTAGCTATTCTGTGATAAAGAACAAATATATGTCATTAGATGATTTTACAGTGAAGAAGGGCAGGGTCAAGATCTTAAACAAATATGTCAGACGTGCTTGAAGTGCAAGAAGCATGCTAGCATGAAAGAGTTTCTCCCAAAAGAAACATTTGGTCATTACCCGTGAATGTAAGCGTGCACACTGCTCCCCAGGGTGTGGTTTTGAGGTGGAGCAGAAGGTGCAGGTGGTTTGTACCGTGTCTGACGTACACGTTGGGAGTACCTGGGAGAGAACAATTTGCCTATGGTAAGGATTTGGAGGTGGTTGTGGTGAATTGACCTTGGCCTTTCTTGGAACTGTGTCGTTCTGCTGAGGCTGTAGGGAGTAGGTGCTACATGCAGAAGGGGAGCAGAGCACCAAAACTGCTGAGTCTGTTTTGCTTTAGAGAGAAGGTAAAAATATGTTTTCTCCTTTGTCTCACTCTTCTCCATTATTTTGTGTTGGAAAAGAAAAGCTATCCTGTTTGCCCTTGTCACCTTTCCTTCCCGCCAGTAATCGTGTCTGTTCTTCAAGCAGAACTAGGCTACTTGTTCTGCACCTATCTCTAGCCACCTTTTCAGCTTTCCTATGACATTTCTTTGCTATAATGGAAGTTTTCTATAAGCTATGACACAAACAATGACACTTCTGTTGCTGGAGAGTGGTGAAGCATGGAGAGGAACTGGTTTGCTTCCTTTTGTAAGACTGCTGACAGTGTCTAGATAGATACACTAGCTTCAGGGTCTGTCCTCTCCAGGTCTTGTCTAGAAGCACCAGAGAATTTCACTTACTAGCATGAAAGAGCTCAAATGCCATCATCATGTGCTTGGGTGTTTGGGTTTTGTGGGTTTCTTTCATTTTGTAGCTTTACATTCAATAGCATAATAGAAATGTTTTCTGTGTTGTGTATTTCCTGTCAGGATGAAGACTCTAGAAACCTACTGGGACTACAAGGAAGCTGCACTAAATTATCAAGAAGCCTGGAAAGTGCTGCGTAGCCAAGCCCTAATGGGCTGGGTCAAGAATACCAAGGAATACCTGCAGTTCACATGAGAATACATGCGGCTGTGTAAATCCAGCAATGAGCTCTGGTGCACAGATACCGCTGCAGTTCAAGGACTAGGAAAAGATATCCTCTAGTTTGTCCCTGCCCATGGCAGGCGGGTTGAAACTAGATGATCTTAAGGTCCTTTCCAACCCTAACTATTCTGTGATTCTATGTGCTGTAAGGAGACAGTGAAAAGGAAAGCAGTTTAGAGAAGTCTTTATTTTGGTTGAGTTGAAGCCCCTTTTTATTGAAATATAGAAAAGAATCATTGTAGACTTGAAGTTCTGAGCTGCATGAAACAATTATGCCTCAAAAGAAAGGAAGAAGTGACGTGCTATCCCCTGTTACCCGAGGATATGATCAACCATAGTCCATTGCAGTGGAAGTAATGTCAACTGAAACTAAAGCAGCGCTATGGCCATCACTTGTAAATTTTACTGCTGCTTTTATCCCCCCCTCTTCATAATGTTATGGTTGGGTTTGTGTTGCTGGGACAACCCTGATGTGTAGTAAGTAATGTTTTTATAACTCTTGGCTCTCCTTGTCTGGCTCCTGGAAGAATTTTCCATGTCCCCCAACCCCATTGCTTCTAACTGGAAATACAGGTTCTGTTAAAGGGTCTTTTTTTCTGCAAATCCTTCATGTAAGCTTCTAGTTACTAAATACAGCCAAAGCAGAAGTAAAAAAGTGCTGGGGAGAAGCAGTGTCAAATAATACCACTTGTGATCTATCTCATGTGCCTGTTTTAATTTCACGACTTTCCCAGATACCTGTTCAACTGCTTTGCTTCTGTGGGCACGAAAGAAACCTCCTGGTTCAAACCTGTCAGTCCTGTGTAATTCCTGGCAAACAGTTACCTACTTTGCAGTGTTTCAAGTGCTGTCCAACCCCTGTCTCCCTGTGATATGTGGTTAATTAAAAGCAGGGGTGCCTTAACCATTTATGTCACTGTTTCCTGGCAACTGTTCATTAATTGCCTGGCAGAAGTGGAGATGCTTTGGGGGAGACTGAAGTGGTCTCTGACAGTCTTTGCCTTTATGCTTTATTACCAAGTAATGTCTACATGGCAGTCAGTAAACGCTGGGGGCTGGGGGAGGCAGCAGGTAATTCTCTGTAAGCTTTTTGTCCCAATTATTGCATTCTGTGAGCAAGTTCAGGACTATGTAACTGCTACTGAGCACACTCCCCTCTTGTACCTTTTCTGCTGTAAATTGTGCTTCATAAAACATTTGCACAAGGCAATGGGAGGATGAAAGAAGTGGATAATTTAGAACCTAAGAATTTTTTAGTGACTTGAATGTTCTGTTTTTTTGGTATCTTACCATAGTTTTGGATTTGAAAAATGGGCACAGCAGTTCTCCAAACAGCCTGTACAGTCAACTGCTGAGCTGCATATGGGACTGTTCAGTACATATTGCGTTACAGTCTGAGAAGTGATTACAGCAAATCCTTTTACTTCACACTTGGGTTGACTTGTCAAATAAGAATAGTGCTCTTGTCGAAGAACTAACAAAACCCAAATGCTGTGTGTATGAGCCTGTCCTCCCGAATCCCGCAGAAAGACCAGTTGTATTGGTGAAGGGGGGAGCCATTGCATGTGTCTTTAGAGGACAGGGGATTATGGAGAATGGTAACTGGCATTAGTCACCAGGGGATGAAAAATGGCCAGATGCTATCACAGATTTGCTACATGGTGAACTGCATTGCAGGGGCAGAGTCCTGTAGTGTACCTAAGAGATAATTAGTACATTTCCAGACTCCTAAAATTTACCTTTGTCCTCCCCTGAAATCTTGCAGAAACTGTAACTTACCGTACCTAGTTTCCCTTTGTTAATCAAGAAGGTCTGTAGGGAACCTGCTGACCAGACTGGAATGTTCCCATTTCCCATCCAGCTGCAATATTAAAATGGGTTACATAAGGCTAGTTCTGTCTTGGCATCCAGACAGTTTTCAAATGAGCAGTTACGTGATGTAAATGCTTTTAACTCTTTCATAAAATTCGAGCCTGGCTGTTGGGAAAGGTTGTTCCTGGATTTTCCTGTGTGTTTGTAAAATACTTGTGACCTGTGGACTGCTGCTTTCCACTACTTGTCAGGCTTAAAAGTAGTTTTATAGGTGCTGAACAGTAATACTAACCTCACTTTTGGATTTAGTTGAGGACATATTTTAGCCTAGAGTGAGTCAATGAATATGCAGAGAGAGGAGCTAAAACAAAGCAGCATTTAAGGATGGGGCCTGATCCTGCATGATCCTTAGGGAGAACATTAGAATGCAGAGACCCTGTCACAGAGGAGCGCAGTTGTGGGTAGGTGTAAGTAGAGGAAACCAAGTGCCCACAGTTGATGGTTAGTGAGGACAACCAAACGGTTGCCAAGGGGAGCAGCAGAGCTCATGAGGGCACCAAGCTTCCCAAGGCATGTGTAAAATGAGCGTATTTGTATTACTGGATAGGTCCCTGATTTTCCCAAACTAGTATGGGGGCCAGTGGTCTCTATTTTTTGGAAGAAAGAAACTAACCCTTGTTTTGAGTGGGACATCTTCAACAGCTTCACTGTTGGAGACACCATTATGTTTTCAATTGCAGTAACAAGGCAGGGCCACCTGCTTACCTTTAAGGAAGTCAGAGCATGGTTTTGCGCAAAAGTAGAAGTAAACAGCCTGTTTGAGCTGGAGGCTGCAGTTCATGACATAACATGCTAACATCCAGTACCTTTGCAAAGGAAGGTTTTAATCTTCGCAGGGTGCTTCCACTGCTCACCTTAGGCAGGCTGGAGCACTTACTGATCTCAGTACATTCAGAGTAAACTCAAGACTATTCAAGTTACTCTCTTTCTTTGTAGAAAAACAAGCCATGAACCCAAACCCCAGGGTAGCTTTTCCCTAGGAGTTAAATCAGCTCTGCCATAAGCCCAGAAGCGCTAGAGGAAAGAATGAGCTAAAGCTCTGCTGCTGCTGCTTCCTCTTGCTTGTTACAAACTATTAACTGGTTATGAAACCAGACCTGGAGAAAATGCCTGAGGCATGAGCATGGAAATGAATTGAGAATTAGTTCTGGGAAGCTACTGTTGGTAGGGAGGAAAGAAAGGCACTGAGTAAAATTGGGAGCCATAGTTGAGGGGCTACAACCAGCAGTTCTTTCTCTCAAAGCACAACCATCCCAAGCATCCGATAATGTCATTATGAGAAGGCTGCAGCAGGGATTTACAGGTAGAAGATAATTTTTTGAGGAAAGACCATCTGAATTCATCTAGCAGTGGTTTAGTTATATTGGAGATGACATTTTACATTAGCTTGAAGATAGGTGATATGGAACTGTGGCTGTAGGAAATGAGGTACTTGTTTTCTGTTCAGTGTATAAATCGAGATGCCTTTCCAGGCCTGAAGGGTTAGCAGAAAGTGAGACTCACATGGGACCCAAAACTTTTCATGATTTTACAGGTATGACTATGCTATCTAAAGGCATGCATTTCATCTCTGCATTTCAGGTGAAACCTCTTATGTTTTATTGCCATTTTAAGTGCATTTGTAGATTAAAAGTTGTTACTGCTTAGCACAAGTATTCTTGCATTCTCTGGAATGACTCATGTAGCTGGTCTCCTAAATCTAAATTCATCATTACAGAAATGTTACAGTAGTTATGTGGGGTTTTTTAGGGGCTTATGAAGGATATTCCAAAAGTCACCTAGATCATAACATTGGGAATAAAACTTCACCTTCCCTTGTTTTGTTTAGATATATCTATATGTTAACATGTCATTAGCTTTATCTAGCAGCTTTAAGTTACATTTCTTACTCCTGTTAACCGCTAGCAAAAAGCACTGAAAACCATAGTCAAACTGTGGAGTTCTAGCTTAAAGGAAACAGAACATTTTCCAGTAATAAAACATAATAAAAAAATCACAGATGAAACCACTTTTCATTCTGAATCAAAAATTCTGTGAAGAGTAAACATTAATACTACATGTGTGGAAAGGGTGGTGGTGGAAGGAATTCGGGATGGAAGCAGTGATGGAATGTTTATTACAGCAGTACTATACAATGCAGCGCTATTCTGAACAGTGAAAGGCTTACTGAAACCAACAGCATGTTTTCAGTTGCAGTAAGCACATGCAGCACTGTTACTGTGACAAGGCTTGTAACAGTGGCAGTGTTTCACAGCCTCCTACCTTCTCATTTTGGAGTCCTTCTGCCTGTACCTGTGAGTAACTGTAGAGCCAGACATAATTCTAGGCATAAGGTGACTTCATGAGGGTTTGAGTTAGTATGAATCTGATTTGAGCCTCAAAAGTGATAGATTTCCACTGGGTGCAAACATTTTAAAAATTAAACTCCTCCACCATGCAGCATAAAAATGGAGTAAAACTGTTATTAGGAATCTACACTTTGTGTTTCCTTGCTGGCTTATGAAGTTCAAAGTGATGCTACTTTTCCAACACAGTGTTATCCTTTAATTTCAAAGTGTAAACACCAGTACTGTGCAAAAAGATCAATCAGGTGTCTTTTCCAGACCCTTCACCGTTCAGCCACATCTTTGCTTCTTGCCCTGTATGTAGAGGCAGCTGAGTAACTGTGGTAAGCCCATTTGGAGAGAAACTGAGACCCTCATGAATAACAATGTGTTCTGTGTTTGTGGCAAAGCCTCTTACCTCTGCTGTGCTGTGTACCTGCTGTGGCAGTGGTGCTCATCAACTGCAGGAACTGACCATCAGTTCTTCATCTTGCATGCAGCATTTTTAATTGCAGTTGTCTGCCTCACCATGGTAGAATCATAGAATGGTTTAGGCTGACAGCCTGTGGGCAGGCATAGCTGCTCTCCTGATGAGACCTAGTAGCTCTGAAGCTACTGGTTTTGGAACCTACAGATAGCTGCTTGTTTTTTCCTTGTATCATCATCCACGTTGAGAAGCTCTGCAGTGTCTAGTAAATAACATAAGGAGCTCTATAGCATCTAGTAAATGTGATGTATAACTTTCTGGCCAAAACTAAGGCAAAGAAATGACAGCACTGCCTGTTTGTGACAGGAATTTTTATTGTACTTGTTTGTTAATTGAGAAAGGAACATATTAGCTCAACTGATAATGATCACATTGTGCTCTTGCTTAGGACAAGCTAGTAAATCCAGTGTTCCCAATACTAATTTGATATTTTTATTTCTTAAACACCTCAAAACAGAATAAATGTGTATTCTTCTCTTCATGTTCTAGTAGCCCAACTACTTTGCTTTATTATTTAATCCATGTCATCAGGTGTATCCCCCAAAGGAATGAGGCTCTGGGAATTCATAGCATGAGGGAAAAAGAAAAAAAAAGCACAAAACCAACAAAACTTCTTTATAATTTAACAGTCTAATAAAACAAGACCTATCAATATATTAAGAAATAAATCCAGTTACAAATGCGTGTATATAGAAGGAACTTCTGTGGATGTCAGAACAGAAAATGATCAGCTATTTACAAGATACACAGCAGGATGGTACGGTAGCCAGGACCCACCATTCAGAAACCAAATGTGTTCTCTCCACTGTAGGCAACATACAAGAATCCATCCTCATCCTTTTCCTTCTCATAAAGTTGTCCCATAGTTAAGCTTTAAGGGGGAAAAAAAGAGAAATGGTTTGCTTGCATCATGACAGCTGCAAATAGTAGCAGTTAGAACCTCACAAAGACAAGGATTAATAAAAGCTAAAACTTGTGAATCTGTGTAAATTAAAATACAAAAATGGGGATATATGAAAACAGTTGACTCCTGAGATAGAAAAATGATCCTGGGCTCTCTGCATTGTCTAGGGTTTTGCTCTTTGCAAATGCATGTGTCACAAAGCTACCTTATTTCACTGAAAAAATTAGTCACTGAAGGTATTTCAGGTTCTGAATCACCCATTATTGATGCTGTGACTAATACAAGGCTCAACAGCCTTACTGCACCTTCCTTGAATGCAGCTGC